AGTGAATTTGGAACAAAAGTTTAAAAGTTTTCCTTCATCTAAATAAGACCCCAAAGCATTCACCCTTATGTCCATCATGTTTTATTATAGATATTCACCTGTAGCCACTGGTAACGGTTATTGAACTTTGCGATCCATGATCCGTAATACCGGCCACGGGCTCTGCTGTGAAGTCTACCRCGGGAGGCTTTTCCAAATTGGTTGTATTTAGATGAAGCAGAGATACGGCTGCTAGGAATGCGGCCACTTCTTAAGCCAAGGGGTTGGTTACAGATTTTACCTACAGTAAAAAAAAAAGGATGATTGGAAGGTAGTTAGTTAGGTAGCTAGCTAGGTAGCTAGGTATGTAAGTATGTAAGTAGGTAGGTAGGTAGGTAGGTAGGTAGGTAGGTGGTAGTGGAATTGCTTTATTAACATGACCTCAACATTTACAGGTATTGTCAAATCGTAAAAGCTAGAAACAGAAACAATTAAATAACAATGAAATATTGTTATGTTATGTATATATATATATTTTTGTTTTGTTTTATATATAAATGTATATATAGGAGTGAAATATATGTCTTATATAATGAAAACGGTAATATATTTGATATTCTTTTATGATAAACTGGTTTATATAGGTAGGTAGGTAGTTTGGTTGGTTGGATGGGTAGGTAGGTACGTAGGTAAAAAACAAAAAGCAAAGTGAATGAAGCAAATGTTTATAGAATATATAAGTACTATAAACATGTAACGATATTTTGACTACTAAACTCACCAAGTCTGCAGCCATACARCTCGACTCTCAATGCAATGTAGCTTTGCCAGGATTTTGGATGAATTCTTACATGGCGGGCCTTGATTGGCTTAAGAAGCCTGTTTAATGTGACTTGATACCTGTCCGTGTTAGCAAAGAACATCTGCAACGATAATTGAGTTAACAATCGTCGACATATATAGCTCCTATAGACGTACTTAATTTTTTCTCTCTCTCTTGAAACGCTTTTAAAAATCTTTTGCCAACATTTGGATATATTTCTCTCATCAACCTTTTTTGTAAGATCAAAATTGATGCGCGCACTCATTGTTCTGATGGCGAAGTTTATCTTACACGATTGTAACGAGTTTTATATGTTACCCTGGGCAAAGCTCGGTAAAATAAAGGAATTAGGTTAAAGGTCGAAGAGACAATTCTAACCAAATGAAGTTAAACCCAACCTACAAACACCTATTTGATTTTTTTTTTCGGCTCGACCCAAAACAATGGATCTTTTTCAGAGTGCAATTAGTGTTGGAACTCGCAAATTTAAACATTTTTAACAGCGCGCACATTAACTAGAGTCCTGCATGAGAGTTCTATATATTTCTGGAAGTGTGCCGTCGTTCTTTAACTTATAATCAAACTTGTAATCAAGCCAACATTTAGACAGTGGTCCGATTTTTGAAAACAAAAGTAGTCTTTTTTAATAAATTTTCTCTCGTAATAAATATATTTTACGTAATTGAAAAATGGCCCTGACAGTAAAAAGAGGTCCGGTTTACGGGTATTTACATACGGCCCCGAGCTATTAGGCATCCCCAAATAAAACCTCTACAAACATACCCCGGAAGATGTTTATCAATAATGAGTTGAGGGAATAGGTCAAAAATAAATAATATGGCTTATATTGACATCTTACCCTTATTCTTTGTCCCTCCTTATAAGGAATGAACCTGAACCCCTTAACACTATACGAGACAATGTATTTCTTGACCCATGAGTTTCCATTATAAGCTCCTTGAGTGGCTATACGTCTGACATAAGAGATGACTCCAAGATCAATCTGGAGCCACTGTCTAGTGTTTCTTATTCCAGAATACCAGGAGCCTGATGAGCTGTGCAGACGTGCTTTCCATGGTCTGTATGAAGTACTGGGATGGTATGAAGAGGCGTGCATCATGTTACGTAGGACGCGACCATCTTGGACACCAAGGGGAATTTCACAGCGGTCTGGCGGAGAATTTAAATTTGGACTATTTTTAGTAAACTATTCTTTCAATTGTTTTCTGGTTGATGGGAATCATGCTGACACTACATAAACCATCTTAGGAATAAAACATGCAAAATGACAACGAAGACTTATGGTGTATATATTTTTCTTGCGTGAGCGTAGTGTTTTTCTATTTCATACAATTCGCCTTTCTGTTAAGGATTTTTGCTGTATTCACGGTACTGCCTTATAAAAGTATCAACTTTTCTTTTTTAATAAGATTTTAAACTGCATGCTAAATTACAACGACCGCAATTTTGAAGTGCAAATACCAGTTTTACATTTGGCCCTCGGATTTGCGGTGCAAAAAGATATGCAAGTGTTTTGACAGACTGTAGCCCCTTTGAAGTTAGAGTACACAGTTGGTATGCATTTCGATAAGCCTACCTGCTTCACATCCGTAGAACTCCGTCCTCATACAGATACGAGAGTGCCATCCACGTGGATAGACTCTTACATATCTGGCAAGGACTGGTGGATTCATGGCTATTGTTACAGTGGAATACATATTCCTGTTGGCTGGGAAAGTCTGCAAAAAGAAAACGTACAGAATGAAAACTTGAAGAGCAAATTTACAGAAATATTCAGAGTCGTGCAGCATTGCTGCACTTGTCTCCCACTTCATATTTCCTCGACTCAACTTGAGTYTCACACGTGAGCAAAATTTGCTGTTCCTTTTCCCTACGAGGACTTTTTTCTTGCTGTTATTGTTGTTTGTTTCTTTGGGATCGACGCGAATATACGCACCAAACGACGCCACAAATTTCTAATGAGAATAACAACTGATACATACCTTTATGACCCAGCTGTATTTTGATCAAAATGGTGGCTTTGGCGCACTATTGCAATGGTCAAGTAGTTATTGGGTCAATATGTAAAACTATCTAAATGCCTCATTATTTTGATTTATTCGTCTTACCTTGATTTTGTTTGTCTCTTTTTGGTAGCTCCAGTGGACTTCATCAGAGCTGTATCTGACGTAAAAGCTTTTGACAAAGTTATTGTAGGCCTGTCTACCTTGGATCGCAATCTCATTGACCTTCATTGCTCGGCCAAAATCAACCTGTTTTAAAATCAAACATCCATTTGAATTCATTTTTAGACTTTACCAGCCTCAAGAAGATGCTATAAGCATCTTTAGGGGAAAGGGTGTCGGTCTATCACTATTCCGAAATATGGGTAAAAATTAATGATAAATTAATAATATTTTTTTATAGTGGGATACAAATTCAGTGTATGTATACTGGTTTTCAATTTGGCCCACACTCACTCACACACTACCACTACATTAAATATTCTTTGCATACAATTCTCAACTCATATGTTAATTTTTGATTACTGTTAGAGGAAAACCAGACAACCTGCAGAAAAAAACTTTTTGACACAGTAGAAAACAACACATCAACACATCGTGGTCTATGTCGAGCCGAAGCGAACCCGATGTTTTTTAACAACCCTGGATTGTGTTATGCATAACCGAGATGATAGGTGCTTTAGTTTCAACATACCTGGTACCACTGATAGTGGTTGTTATATTT